TCGGGGATGGACACTCTCCAGACACCGGAGGATCCCTTCCCTCCAGCTCAGTCCAGTGGTGTCTGGGAGGTCCATGGGAAGATGATAACTCATTATATTTATATAGCGCTTTTCTAGGCACTCAAAGCGCTTTACATTGTCAGGGGGTATCTCCTCATCCACCACCAGTGTGCAGCATCCACCTGGATGATGCGACGGCAGCCATAGTGAGCCAGAATGCCCACCACACACCAGCTTATTGGTGGAGAGGAGACAGAGTGATGAAGCCAATCAGTAGATATGGGGATTATTAGGAGGCCATGATGATCAGAGGCCAATGGGCAAATTTGGCCAGGATGCCGAGGTCACACCTCTACACTTTTTGAAAGACATCCTGGGATTTTTAATGACCACAGAGAGTCAGGACCTCGGTTTACCATCTCATCCGAAGGACAGTGCTTGTTGACAGTATAGTGTCCCCGTCACTATACTGGGGCGTTAGGACCCACACAGACCACAGAGTGAGCACCCCCTACTGGCCTCACTAACACCTCTTCCAACTACCAACATGATAGTTGGCCCCAATCCAGAACAGAGAGTTAATTGTGGCGTCGTCTAACGCCATAGTAGCAGCAAGCCCGCAGAATTCCCAGGTGAACTCTATGAAGGGAAGAGCCCTGCGGGCTAGAGCGGAGAACTGAGCGGCTATTTCCATGGCCGTGGAGAGAAATAAGAAAACCAAAAAACTTTCAAAAACGGAAAAGAAACACGCGGAGGAGAGACGCTGCTCACTTTTTGTGGGTATGGAATTCTGTCACGGTTAGCTGCTACTATGAGGAGCACGGAGCGAGGAACGAGGAGACGCAGAGTCGAATTCAAACTTATAGACTTTAATAATATCCAAGGAAACAGGAAAACACACATAGCAAAGGTAGACATGAACAATTCCAGAGAAAGGAGAACAGAAAGGGCTAGAACTCAAATAGGGCAGATAACGAGGGGCAGACCAGTGAGGAGGATAACTAATAATGAGAAACACCTGGAACTAATAGAAAGAGAGAGTCGGGGTACTCAGACTCGTACTCGGAGTACGTTTTTTTAAAGGACTCGGACTTGTCACAGACTTGGAAGCATTTTTACTCGGACTTGACTCCGACTCGAGCCTTTTGGACTCTGAAAATATGTCAGAATCCAACCGAGTCCAGGGACAGTTGACGGAAATGTCACTGATTCAATGCATTATCATGAAAGTGATATTCAGTATTTGCGAGTGTTTTTAAGTATTGTCCAGTACTTGAAAGCCTCACAGAATGCGCCTCTCAGTCAGTGTGCGAATGCCGAGTTTTTTCGCTTGAGTTCTCTTAAGTTCTGTTATAGCTACACACTTACACGAAAAGTTATGTCAAAATGCCCGTCTTGGAGACTATTCATGTAAATGCAGTCGGTTTTGTCTTAAGTGAACTTGAACAGTTGGGAGAAATACAGATGTGTTAAAATATTTGATCTATGCGTCAGATCTTAAAGCAACAGCGTAAACCTGCAGCCGCCGACTACGTCATAAATGTTAATCAAACAAAAGAAAAGGAGAAAATCCCTCACTGCTCTTGACTTAATCACTTACTAACTTTAATAAGAATAATATATATTTAATGTATACAGTGAAGATAATTTTTACATTTACAGATTTTTTCAATTGCTAACTAGCATTTTCCAATACTTAAAGTACTTTTTCTAAACTCTTAACACAGCAACACAGCTACATCACATAATTAGCCAAATAGTTAATTTCCTGGCCAAAACCAAATTTTGTTAAATAAATACAAACTCTACATTTCAAAATGCTGAATACTTTTTTCTACATATACTAACTCTATCAAAACACAGCAAACCCGATTCAAAATTGAGTCATTCGGTCAAAACATTAGCACTACTTTTCTATCCAACAAAAACATATAGTCAATCATAGCACAGTGACTGTCAAAATTTTAACAGCTGATGACTTTACAAAAACTGCATTAATTGTCATGTTACAGTTCTACCTGCATATAGACAATATAAATATCCATTGTTTTTTGTAATTTAGTTACCTTCAACTGAAACCCATTTTACATTTTTAAGTGTTGAATGTGTTCATTCTTGGCAACATACTGTCTAAAATTGAAGGAGACATTATAGAAATAAATAGGGTCCCCATGCAGAAATTTCAAAAATTGAAATTGCTTTCAAGTGGGTTAGGGTTGGATGTGGATGGTGCCCCCATGGTAGCTGATGCCAGTGTAAAAATGGTAACTGTGGCCTCATCTCACAATTTGGGCTTCAATTCTTGGAATTGTGAGTTTACATCTTGCAATTCAGACTTTATCAGAACTTTGAGATAAAAAAGTCACAATTACCCTTTGCCATTTATATTCCATGACAGAAATAAGCTTTCTTAGGTTCCACATGTGTAAGGGGAAAAAACAAACAAACAAAAATGCAAAGTCCAGCACACATTCTTACTCCTCTCCCCTACCTCTTCTTCTCCCTTTTTCTAATCAAGCTACTCCTCTCCCTCCTACAACTATTCCTCTTCCTCTCCCAGGCATAATTTTTTTCTCTCTTTGATTCTTTGTGTTGTTCTGCATCAAAAAAAGAAGAGGGAAAAAATTCAAAGAGGTCTTTTTACTCTATGTTGATGCAATGGAAAGAGCATCAACACCTGACTATTCCTCAGCTGTTCCTAAATTTTTCAGTGATATGTTACTTAAAGTTGTGGCCTAATGGTTAGAGAGTCAGACTTGTAACCCAAATGTTGTGGGTTCAAGTCTTGTACCGGCAGGGGTTGTAGGTGGGGGGAGGGGATGTGCGGCGCTCTCTCCCACCTTCAATACTTGAGCAAGGCACCGAACCCCCAACTGCTCCCTGGGCGCCGCAGTAAAAATATGGCTACCCACTGCTCTGTGTGTGTGTGCACTTTGGATGGGATAAATGCAGAGCACTAATTCCGAGTATGGGTCACCGTACTTGGCCTCACGTCCCGTCAGTTGAGACTGTTCTGCAGTAAGAATGATTAATCTGTTACCGAATGAACTGGGGAATCTTTTGAGGCTGTCTGTTCCGCGGTAAGAGCGAACTATGAGGACGTTTATCAATTATGAACTGTGGTCTCTGCTCATGTAGTGGAAGAATGAAGTGGTATAAGATGTGTATGCTTTGGTTATTGTATAATACACTGTTTTTGCATATGAAAATTACTGAATCATTTGTGTGTTTGTTTATGTGACCTTGCTTCATGTTAATTCACAGTTCATTAACTAATGTTAACAGATCAGATACAACTTTAAAATTTAATAACGTATTAGTAAGTTTTGAACTTAATATTAACTAAGATTAATAAATGCTATATAAATATTGTTCATGATAACTAATATTGTTAGTTAATGTTAACAAATTAAACTTTAATGTAAAGTGTTACCAAAGTTGTATATATTGTGCTGTGTGTGTGTGAGACAGCTAGGGGTTCAGTCAAGTAAATCTGTTAAAATTATTTATTTCTTGTATATGTAACAGAACTACTGAGACGAGAGGTGTGCGAATCCATCTGCAAAGCTTTTATTAAAAGACGTGGTCAAAACAGGCAAGGGTCAACAGCAACAACAGGTATAGCACAGGCAAGACGAAAGAGTAATCCAGAGACAGGCGTGGGTCAAACGACGACAAACATAATCCAGGAGCAACAAGTAGCAAACAACAACGATCAAAGAGAAATGTAAGACAGGCAGGTGATCAGGAAACAGATAATCAGGCAAAAGCAAGACGTGACTAGACTAGAAATTGGAACTAGAAACTAGGACAGGGAACTGGCTCCGTAATGTTGCTAATGCAAAACAGCGATAAAAGCAAAACAAGACTCGGCTCTGAATGGTGGTTTGAGACTGATTTATATAGTGTGTGTGTGTGTGTGTGTGTGTGATTGGCTGCAGGTGAGTTCATAATCAATGTAGTACAATGGGTTCTGGGAAATGCAGTCCGGGGAGAGATGTAGCGGCTCATGAAAAGAGTCATAGTGGTGATGGCTGACCTCTGCAGGTGAGTGAATGGAAGTCCATGGACCGAACTCATGACAGTATAACTGTTCTATTAGGACTGGGGAAGACGTAATTATACTTTCCATTTATTTAAAACAATTCTATCCCTTATTCACACATTTTGTCAGCTGCTCTGATTGACTTTAATTTCCTATGCAAGGTATAATGTTATATAATATAATGTTATATTTGTACCTTTATTTATTTATTTTCCAGTTCGCATATGTTTAGTTCCAACCACTAAAATGTCTTAATTGCCCTAGGAGAATGAACTTTTTTACCAGTAAAAAACAGTTGTCATTTTGGACTGTGATCTGTTTGGACCCTGTAACCGGAATGCATGGCTATATTTTAACTTTTGCAAGAATGCAAGAATTACTCTGTACATTTATTATTTACATTTCGCAATGAACTCGTTTCTCTGTGCGCATGAAAATAAAGACCTGCAAAAGAGCTTCCTGCTAACTTTACAAAGAATGTTTTTGAGGCTTATTAAAGCCATTCATATAAATGTTATGTAGCGCTTTATATAACACAACAGTGACAAACTAATTCAATTTCAACTAATTCAATTTCTGTAGATCAAATAGAGCATGACAGTAGCAACACCATGATTCCCGGGGAATGTATAAACTGATCATACATGTATGAATACCTTGAATGCAATGTCAAGTCAAGTCAGTTTGGATAAAAGCATCATTGTATGAATGTAAACAAATTATTCTGTCCTCCAGAGTCAGCAGGCCATCTTTTATTTTCCTCTTCAACAGAAATAATTGAAAATAAATTAAGTTTTAAGTGTGTAAATTAATTTTTTTTTAATTAAAAATGAAAACGCATTGTATTTCAGTCCATTTGGGTCTCATACATAAAACACAAAACTAAGTCTTTTAAAATCATGTTTTAAATTATTTTTAAAACATAAAATGTATTTAAGTTTAATGATGAACTTGCCTTGATCTGAATATCTTCTGGTTTCCACTCTGGCCTCAGTTTCTTAAGAAGTTCTAATATCCCATGCCGAGGGGTGCGCTCATCTACACAGACATCTAAATGTAACCTCTCGCAACACCCATCATTTGGATACCTTTTCATTTCCATTCTTTTTAATTAAATTCACAGTTCAGATAATTCAAATAAGTTAAATGACAGATAAGGAAGCTTTGTTTTAGGGCTTGTCAGCGTAATGATCTGATCTCAGCTGTCTATCGTAACAGTGTCAGGTGGACTCTTGGTTCAGGCTCGCAGGACCACTCTATGTATTCAGTGACTCAGCAAATCCAGGGTTTATCAAAGTGCAACGTTCTTTTGGGCATCTTCATTGGTTAGTTAGTGAAGAGTTTACATATTAACCCTAGTTTCAAATGAAGAAGCAAATCTAAAGAGAAAAGCCTTAATGTTTGATTTAAGTAAGCATACTGTAATCAAATAATGTGCATATATCTATCTATCTATCTATCTATCTATCTATCTATCTATCTATAGGGGCATTGGGTGGTAAAATAATTAATAATAAAAAAATTTAACATTACAAATGTAGTTGTGTAAAAATCTTTTTTTCCCAATGCAGGGCTTGTTATACATTGTGCACAGGACCCAACTATTTAAAGTTTTACTTGAACCTATATAAAGCGAGCAATGTGGGTTTGGTTAGAGGTTATTGAGAATGAACAGAGAAAAGTAACATGAGAGGCAGCAATGTACCTTCACACTATAACTGGCTATTAGTCTGTTCCCGCGATAAATTATGCATCTTTTATTTTCATTTTTAAAAAAATGTAATTAGTCATGATACCAGTGTTTACCAAGCTTTGATGACTGATAACCAAAAATAAGTTGACTAATAAAAATAACTGCCGATCATCACAAATAAAATAGAGCCGAAATCTAAAAAAAAAAAAAAAAACA